GAGAAAGAGAAAGAGAGAGACAAAGAGACAGAGAGACAGACAGAGAGAGAGAGAGAGAGAGAGAGAGAGAGAGAGAGAGAGAGAGAAAGAGAGATAGATAGACTAAGCTAGCTAGATAGATTATCTAATATCCCCATATAAACATATAAAATATCTAATGTTTGAGCACATCTGCCATGTATCACATATCTGCCATAATAGGTCTGATACATCAGATGACACATTAAGGCCCCCGCACACGGTGCACATTCGGTGTAGCGCCGAACGCACGCGCCGAATGTGCACAGTGTGCGGGGGCCTTTAGTAGAATAAACACGCATTTTTAATGACCACTCACCGGACTCCGTCTTTTCAATGTCAGATTTTTCCACAGGAGCAGCCTAAGCTGTAGGAGAAACCCCATCGTATATGACAGCGATACACAGTGACAGATGACAGTGAAAGCACGTCCTGGTCTGCAACTCTCAGCTCTGAGAAACCATCAGCCTTTCAAACCTATGGCATAAGAGCAGTGTGACCAATCTTGTTCAAAGTCCACATCATGGTCATACAGTCCGGGATGTTGTAGAATATGGTAACCAAGGCCGTAGTCACGTAGTGGCCGCCACGGCAGCACGGCACTGCCGTGGCATTATTTTGACAACAAAATTGTGCAGGGAACCAAGGAGCAACATATAGGGGGGCCTACCAAAGAGATGAAACCCCGGGGGGGGGGGAACACTGACCCCACATTATGGTAGGTATGTGCCACTGCAAAGTCAAAAATAGGGGGCTCTGGAAATAACTCAGACCTGAAAATGGGGGTCTCTGGAACTAATGTTTGTTGAATGTGGTATGCTCTGGAACCGGCTATGTTCGAAAATGGGGGTCTCCGGAACTAGGATTTCGTTGAAATTCAATGCTATGAAACTGGACACGTTTAAAAGAGGGGGTCTCCGGAACTAGCTAGGATTTCGTTGAAATTCAATGCTATGAAACTGGACACGTTTAAAAGAGGGGGTCTCCGGAACTGCGGGGGGAACAGTGATTTGCTTTAAAATCTATGCTGTAGCACTTAAACCAATAATTGTTGTATTATGTAGAGGAGAGAAAAACATGACCCGGAGAGAGATAAACGCACGCACGCGCACGCGCACGCGCACGCACGCGCACGCACACGCACACGCACACGCACACACACACACACACAGACAACACACGCACGCACGCACGTACGCACGCACGCACACACAAACACACACAACACACACACGTTGCATGCATGCCTTCACGGCCCGGCTTCAACGTATTTTGAAGTACGATGCACTGGAACGGAAATATTAAAAACTCAGACCTTGTGTTTTAAGGTGCGCGATCGCGCTCGCGCACCATCGCGTGCCTCGATTGATCAGGAGAAGTGCGAAAAAACGCGCATCTAAGCATTATCAAAACACACACCTTTTTTTTCCGTGTTTTATTTTTCATTAATTCAACTTATAAACTCGAAGATAAACGCTAACGGTTGTAAACATCACGGACATTGCCGGAAGTCGGTTCACATGTTTATAACAACAGTCGCAAAGCGCTCTAGAACGACGAATGTGATTGGTTGTATTTTTAGATAAAGTTTTAATAGTCTGCTTTGAAAAATTGAGTGTTGTTCCTATTTGACTAAACATGCTAAATGTGTGATTCAAGTTATCCACATGTTCAAGAACTGATATTTTGTTAGATGGAAAAAAAATCACCTAAAAAATGTCAAAATTAAGAGTACAAATGCAGAGCTAATTTTTATCTCAAAATGCTGGAAATAGCATTTCATGAAGTCTAGTTTTCAAGTTTTGTCCGGGGGGCATGCCCCCGAACCCCCCTAGTTTGCCTCATGCCCTGTGAGCACTCCGATGCAAATCACACAACTCGGCGAGCCAAGGTGTGCGATTTTTCACTCGCCCGCATTTCCCAAAACATAAGGGCTGAAAACTATATTATTTTTCATAATTATGTACTGATAGTATATGACACACACAAGCGATAAAAAATTGCATCTCATGTGAGTGTAGAGACAGTTCTTGTGTTCAGCCCCAGATAACCCAGTTTTGTCATTTGAGACATCGAGGAGTATGATAAATGGTCTTCTAGGTCAGTGCTTCTTAAACTATTTCAGTGTCCTTCACCCTTGAGTCTTTATCACAAAATTTCACTCACCCGCGACTAAATTTCCTTATGTTTCTGTAATTTTCGTATAATTAATTGATATGTCAGTATATGTCACATGAGCAAAGAACATAAATTTACTCATTTCTTAAGTGTTTATTTACTCAACTTTTTGCACACCCTAAAAATACCCTGCTACTTTGAAATGAGAAAACCATAGGTAAAGAGAAAAAAACATCAAATTTCCAGCTCCACTGCCATCCAATAAGAGCTTACTATAACCACTTTAATGGCAATGCCTTTTCCAAGTATAGAAAAAACATAAATGTTTGAGTAAATCAGGTCATTCACCCTTCCAGTTTCATTCACCCTTCACTCACCCCTCTAGTTTCATTCACCCTTCACTCACCCCTCCTTTCATTCACCCTTCACTCACCCCTATCACCCTTCACTCACCCCTCCTTTCATTCACCCTTCACTCACCCTTCTAGTTTCACTCACCCTTCACTCACCCCTCTAGTTTCATTCACCGTAAAATCATTTTATTCAGCTTTGTGTGAACCATTCACACTCATGAGCACTGCTCTCTAGGTATTCCAGAATAGGGAGGACCATAGTTTGAAATGCAAGGGACTGGTGTCAGCAAAAGAAATATCGTGGTATAGTATGCCAAATGAGCAAGTGGACTTTTTACAAATATATATGATCATGATGTGGGCATTCCAGTGAAGGTTGCTGCCACAGGCATTTGGAACGTCTCAATAAAAAAAAGGTAAATAAACATGAAATGTATTTACTACCAAAGTCTCAATGTTTCTCTACTCTATTTCGCCTATTATTGCCGGTACGGTTGCAGATAAGCATTTGACCTGGATTTACGGGTAATTATCGGCAATAATAGGCGAAATAGAGTAGAGAAACATTAAGACTTTGGTAGTAAATACATTTCGTGTTTATTTACCTTTTTTTTATTGAGACGTTCCAAGTGCCTGTGGTTGCTGCTTACTACTCCTAGCCCTAATAAATAGTAATAATAGTTAATACTATTACTACGTATTATTCGCAACAAGGAAATGAAAAATATCGAAACGCAAAAATCAACTTTTACTGCAACCGCCTTACACGGTATCATGCGAAATCAGAACTTACTCGACACTGCACATGTTTGATCTGAGAAGGCTGCAGTGCTTGCAAGCCGAGTTGTTCTTCTCCGAATCTTGCCACTTGCCTTGGTTTCTCCTGAGCACAGAAAATACATATATACGGTTAGATACAATAATGTAACCCATCAAGAGTAGGGTTACAACGCGAGCCTATTCTTTTCTTTGGAAGAGCTCATGAGTGATTCACTCAGGGCGGTTTTATGGTGCGTTTTTCCAGACTAGAACTTCCAAACTGGGCTTATTCTAAACACGAACCTTTCTCCGCTATCCTGGGACTTACTATCATGTATCACAATACTATGTAAATTAAACTAATATAACCTGTAACAAAATTTCGAAGTGACGAGCAGCGATATTTCGAGCGCCATTTCTGTTGACCTGTGACGTACGCATTCCCAATGCGTATAGAGTTCGGCTAACGGAGAAAGGTTCGTGTTTAGAATAAACCCAGGCAGAGTTTACTCTAGGTTCTAGGGATATTTTCAGCTAATTTAGGTTATAATTACGCTACATAAAAAGTTTCATGGTTCAATCACCATTAAAAAAATTTTGTTTAATGTTTTAAAACTAACGACTACAGTTTAATTACAACAACGGTGGCGCCACTCAAAGCGCACAATCTGATAAGTTGCACAAACCACTTTCCAGCCAAGGGCTACAGACCTAGGGTGTTTCTTATTTATTCATTTAAAAGCAAAAGGATTGTAATATCTTATAAATGACATATAGTTTCAGTTATAAATTTGCCCTAAAATACTGTAAAATGAATATTGTTCGGTTAAATAGCATTTAGGTATAAATATAATTGCACTTTTGTGATTAGCCCTCGGTCTGTAACGTGCAAAATAAATTGTCAAATACGCAACTTTTTCAGGGTGGCAGCACAGTCGCGGGTGTCATGGCGCCGTTCAAATTTTGTAGCGTTGATGTGTAATTAATTATAACAATTAAATTAGGTATCTGGTAACAAAACGTGTGGGTATAGACAATTTGTTATACAGTAAGTACAGTTGTATGCAGTAACATCCTAGAGGCTACTGTCCCTTTAATGTTTCTCTACTCTATTTCGCCTATAATCACCTGTAAATGCAGGTCAAATGCTCATCTGCAACACACAAGTACACAGAGCTGCTGCACACTGACACATAAATATATAGCAGGTAGGAAAGCGTGCTGCCAAAATTCGCTCGACGCTCGCTTGATTTCATAGGAATACAACACAAATATTCAACCATTGTACTTCATCTTTGTTTCTATTTGAAGAACAGTGTTCACTTGTTATAAAAACATACCTACTGTCTGTGTTCGTAACCGAGCTGTGTCACGCAAAATCACACAAAGCCTGATGAAATTCTCGCGTTCGCTCCCGTTGCGCAGTTTATGTAAATGGCTGCAAGTACAGGGCTATAGGCTACGCACTGCATTTTGCGAAACTACCACGCTGCTTTCCAACTCCCGTGTGAGCCCCGTCAAAGCCGCCAGTGGATCGTTGCAAAAACGTTGCAGCGTTACGGCACAAAAATGAGGTCACGAAGAGCGCCGGTGGGTGTTTCCTGATTCTGACAGCCATATACATAAACTGCGCAACAAGAGCGAACGCAAGAATTTCGTCAGGCTTTGTGTGATTTTGCGTGACACAGCTCGGTTACGAACACAGACAGTAGGTATGTTTTTATAACAAGTGAACACTGTTCTTCAAATAGAAACAAAGATGGAGTAGAATGGGTGAATATTTGTGTTATATTCGTGTGAAATCAAGCGAGCGTCGAGCAAATTTTGGCAGCATGCTTTCCTACCTGCTAGCCTATATATTTATGTGTCAGTGTGCAGCAGCTAGCGTGTGGCGGCCAGCATGTGACAGTGTGTTGCAGATGAGCAGTTGGACAGCATGTACAGAAAATTGTCGGCAATAATAGGTGAAAGAGAGTAGAGAAACATTAAGACTTTGGTAGTATAGGCCTAAATAAATTTCGTATTTATTTAGCATTATAATTTTATATTTTATTGAAACGCTCCAAGTGCCTGTGCAGCTTAGATACAATAATGTAACCCAAACCCAGTAGGATAGGGTTACAAAGCGTCCGTATGGTTTTGTGCGGAGGAACGCCCGAATGAATCACTCAGGGCGGTTTGCTGGTGCGTTTTCAGCGACTAGAACTTCCAAATTGGGTTTATTCTAAACACGAACCTTTCTCCGCTATCTTGAAACTTACTATGTATCATAATACTCTGTATTAAACTAATATAACCTGTTACAAAAATTCGAAGTGACGAGCGGCGAATATACTGAGCGCCATTTCTGTTGACCTGTGACGTACTTCGGTTTGAAGAGCGGATTCACCGACCAATCGGAGGGCGCTGCGTTTGCGGATCGCCATGCGCATTGGGAATGCGTACGTCACAGGTCAACAGAAATGGCACTCAAAACATCCGCGGCTCGTCACTTCGAATTTTTGTAACTGGTTATATTACTATTAGTATTAGTATTAGTATTACTATTAGTTTAATACAGAGTATTATGATACATAGTAAGTTTCAAGATAGCGGAGAAAGGTTTGTGTTGAGAATAAACCCAGTTTGAAAGTTCTAGTCTCTGAAAACGCACCAGCAAACCGCCCTGAGTGATTCACTCAGGGGTTCCCTGAATTTCCTCCACAGAAAACTATAGCGACGCTTTGTAACCCTAGGCTATGCTCCTGGGTTTGGGTTACATTATTGACATTGTCTCTATGACTATGTGCAGCTGTGCTCTTGGCAGCAGTTGTACTTGCATATAACACGCGATAACTAAATAAAGTTTCATTTGTCAACAACAGTGAATACAATAAATTAGTACATTATGCGACATAACACGGTAAACACACGAAACTCACGGGAAATTCAGTGGCAGAGGAACGTAAATATTGTTTTCGCCAAGAGACGAATGACGTCCACACCTCTGGTTGACGATAGAGCGAGCCACAAACCCTAGGTTACGACTAGACTGGTACCCGGTCCCACCTCTCGGCTTAGTTACTTGATGGGTAACCATCGATCGAGTAATCGAGATGGGAGCGAGTACCAGTCTAGGTTACGACAGACAGTGCAGTTGTTTTAACATGGCAGCAATCACACATGTTTCTAGCAAGGTCGGGTCATTATATCCAAAACTACAGGTAAATACATTTAACTGACATGCCGATTATTATTGTAAATATAGCACGTCTGATCTAGCTTCTAGTCTATGTGGCACAAGAACTTTACATAGGTTACATACGTATAATAGGCCCCTACTAGTACTATATTGTAAATGTAATGTGTTCGAGTGGTAGGCACCTATTTTAGAGATCATGACATGTGAATTGAGATGCTCAGATGGTAAATTGCTATTGCCAAAGATTCTTGAAAGATGGTATTATTAATATTATTATTACATCATGTCATCATCAACAGCTTGCTTTCCCACATATTTATCATATTAGTTTATTACTAACTTCACTAATAGCAAGCCAATTATTAGCTCTAGAACTAGTATTAGTACTACTACTAGTACTAGTAGTAGTAGTAGTAATACACCCGTTGACAGTTTAACACTGCGCATGCGCTTAGCCTAAGGTCAAAGGTCGGGAGGAGTTTCCGTCCCAGAAAGCGCGAGTAAAATGCGCGAACAATGGCGTTAACGTGTAGTGTGAAGGGCTGCTCAAACGGATCGTATTGGCTTAAGAAAGACTTTTAGAGCATGCATTGACCATAATTTAAATGTATCAAGTGTCATGTCACTCAGGTCATCCATTATCGGTGCTCTATTACCTGCTACGTGCACTGTTCTTCGACACAAAGTTGAGCGACCTGCGTATGCAAGGCAGATAACGCATCCAGATAAACAATATTGCGGAGTTTACTCGCACATCCGGGCTCTCGCGGAGATGCGTAACTAATGGCGCAGAACATAGGCGCAGAACTGTCAATGGGTGTATAGTAATTAGTATAGACTAGGCTAGCCCTTCGCTCCGCCACACAGGCCTGCTACACAGTCACTAGCTGTAGCCTCTACTACTAGTACTAGTACCATAGCCCGCGTACAGTTGCCGCTGGCAGCGGCAACTGTACGCGGGCTACACTGTTTTTTGTTTATAAGAATTCTTTTTATAAGAATCATCGAGGCTCGATTTCCCAAATTTTAAGAATTTTTTAAGAATAATGCTGAGGCTCGATCATCAGACACACATTGTCACTCGATTCAACGAGGTACACGATGGCATGATGCGGTCGAGCGGCAGTGACTCCACGAGTACGGATAAAATCTCAAGCAATTTGAGCTTGATTGCCCATTAACACGTTCAACGCTGCCTGGGTTAACAATGCATCTACCGCCCTGTGCTGAGATTTTCGCGTTTTTACGCTTATGCTCACTCTATTAACACAAAAATGTTTTTTGGCCAGGTGTTTAACTAGCCTATAAAATTATTTATAATTATTGGCTAGTCAATATAGCATAATTTAAACTTACTCTCAGGCACAATCGAAACAACACCGGAATCTATCACCCTGCCCCCTATGATTCTATCAAATCAAACACAAACTTTCAGACATAAAAACAACTTCACAATAACACCGCGCGGTCAATACGCCTTTGGCCGAGGGGTAAACTAAAAAACATTAACCTCAGTCCCAAAAACATCCCAACATAACGTTCCACAACAGTAAAGTATTGTTTTAAAATTATGCTCCATCTACTACTACTGGGGTTCTTAGTGACAATGACGCTGATATGAGAGAAACATAGTAAACGTTACCAGATTTTTTTTTTTTTTTTTTTTTTTTTTGCCACGAGTATACTCGTGTTTCGCGGCCGTGCGTTTTGCAGGTTCGAACGAGTATACTCGTGTTTCGCGTTGAACGTGTTAAACCATTCCAGATTGCAACACTTTTAACAGTTTTAATAAAAATATAAGTCGATTTTTTTCAACAATTATTTAAGAATTATTTAAGGCTCAAAATGTCGATTTTCTAAGAATCACGAGGCTCAAAAAAAAAGTACGATTCTTATAAACAAAAAACAGTGTATAGTACTAGAGCTACACAGTCACAGGGCCAGGCCACAGCACAGGGCAGGGGCAGGCAGTAGACCGAATAATTCTGTCCCAGATAACGTTTTATATTTTGGATGCGTTATACTGGGACAGAACCGGGTGCATTGAAATTTTGTGAGATCGCATGCAAAATGCATGCGCTGCTAATGCGGCCCGTACGCCGGTATCGGCGGGTAAAAAAACCTGCCGTTCCCTTCTACATGGCTTTACCTTGCTATCTTCTTAAAAGATTGTTTTTCAGAAACCCCGCTTCATTCCAATTTAGTAAATCGCATTCGCCATTTACAAACAATCGGCCAATCAGAGGTAGCCTAGAGAAAATAGCACCACAGATCATAGCACAGATACAGGAGAAACCCAGGCTATTGTAAGGCTGGCTCTGATTGGTCTGATTGTTTGTAAATGGCAAATGCGATTTACTAAAGTGGAATGAAGCGGGGTTTCTGAAAAACAATCTTTTAAGAAGTGAATAACGATTGAAGTGAATATTCACGCACATCAGTAGCAAGGTAAAGCCATGTAGAAGGGAACGGTAGGCCTTTTTACCCGCCGATACCGGCATACGGGCCGGATTAGCAGCGCATGCATTTTGCATGTGATCTCAAAAAATTTCAATGCACCCCGTTCTGTCCCCAATAACCCTCACCAAAATATGAAAAAGGTTATCTGGGACAGAATTATTTGGTCTAGCTGGCAGAGGGGGGTGGTGATTGCATATACATCACATAGCCGCGAGAGGGCCGTAGGGAACAGTCAACAGCAATGGAGGACTTTGTGGGAGTTGATTTATGTGTTTCCAAAAAAACAACGAATATCAACGGATTTCCAGGTAATTTACTGCGGAGAGCAATATAGTATCAGTCCGTAAATGGAGCGCGCAAATACGCAGATACATTTGAGGGCCATAGCAGAGGAGCATGACGGGAAATTCTCGCGCGTAGCAATGGTGAGAAACAGTCGGAAACGGGCGAGTAGTGTCGCTTTTAAAAAACACAGTTTTTTCCACACTTCCTATGAACTCGCATAATGTTTGTCGGTCGAAATGAACAAACAACACCTTTGACAACACCCCTGTCGATTTTAAAGGGACTCCCCCACATTTACGAAAAGGACATACGTCTCAATCTGGACATCATCTCTATCCTTGAACCACATGGGTGTGTCTAAACAGAGGAATTGCTCCGACCTGTGATTGGAGGATAAAAATAGACCCCGCCCACTCCCGCCGCATAAACTATTATGCTATGACCAGTAGGAACGTGTACTAACTATTATATGGAGCGAACGATTTGAGTTAGATTTCTATAAATTCTAGCTATTAAGTATTATAGACACATGTCTTAGCCTTAATCTCTGTGAATTTTGAGTCTATTGAAGCACGATTAGCAGGCCTCGAATTAAGCGACGAGAGGGGCAAGGCAATTTTTTGGGGGCATGTGAGAAATTGCCTTGAATTTTCTCTAAAATGGATGGGCACCGAGGCAATTTTAAAAGGCATCAAGGCAACTCTCACAATTTGAGAAGGGCACCAAGGCCATTGTTATGGAAAACTTTGTCATCGTATGAATTGTACTAAAATTTCTCTAAATTTACTGCACTTAGCAAGCTACACACCGTACAGATCACTGGCCATTCTTGCGCGAGCGTCGTTTCCCGCGCTTTAAATCGCACGCGGGCCGAGTCCGGGCGTGCAGCATCCGTGCAGCATTCGTGTTCTACCACGGGCATACACAGGTGCACTATTTATCGATCGTCTACTGGCAGCGGTTGGCAGCAATACCACGTTATTGTTTTTGCCGCCGGGTAGACTGGTATCCGGCCTCACGCTCTGCTAGAGAATGTACACGCTCTGCTAGAGAATGTACACGCTCTGCGACAAACAGTGCGGCCGCGAACCAGTCTAGCCAGAGGCAGAGGCACCGACGGCAATTACAGAAAAGGGCAAGGCAGGTCACTGCCGTCGGTCGGGTTGGATTTTCAAGGGCAGTACGGCGATTGATAGGGGCACCGCCGGCAATTGCCGTCGGTGCCGTCGGTTAATTCGAGCCCTGACGATTAGTCTAATTAATTAGTAAATATGCACGCGCGGTATTGCTCATAGGCTAATAATATACGCGCGGCTATGACCGGTGAAACGAAAAGTCACGAATTCTATTTTTATCTTCCAATCACAGGTCAGAGCAATTCCTCTGCTTAGACGCATGTCACAGGCCACAGGCCGCCACAGGGATAGCCAGTTATCTATAACTGTAGCTAAGATAAATAATATTTCACATCATTCAAATCATATTTGTACTATTAAATATTATTTTGGTGACAAACCAATGTCTAGTCCCATCCGAAGCAATATGATCAATAACGGCATTCCACTACATACAGTACTGCAGCCGCAGGGTCCAGCTGAGCGTGGCTAACAGCAATGGCCCACGTAACTTTACAATAGTCAATACATGGGCGGGTACACGAGGCAGTGGCACCGTGCCAGAATGGCTGCGCATCTCTTTCCTTTCCGTCCCATTGAACAACTCAACGGTTGACAACACAAAGTACATGAAAATATCATAAGTGACTAATCATTTCTAAATTCGAGTGAAGTAACTTTGTCTCTGTGCAGTAATGACCTGAACTAAGTGATTATTTTACAAAAACATAATTTCTGATGTAATTAACTACAAGAGTTACTTCAAACGCATGCAGCGGACATTAACACTCACTTTTCATGTGTGCCCAAGACCAACCATCTTTCAGGAATTCAATGGTACAGGCCATTCAAAGACACCCCATCAATAACAAAAATGTGTCAATTTTTGTGGCATTCTGGTTACATGGCATTTTGTAGATAAACAATAGTCAAAACTCACAATCGTCAACACAAACGGGAAAACATTGTAACATTATTATTTGATATTTGGTGCTTATAATAATGTATAACACTCATAAGAAATTTATCAATTGAATTGTCATAATGTAAAAATGCTCCAAAGTTCAACTGGTGCTGTTTTGCTCAAATTCGCCCCCATGATGTCATCAGACTGCTATCGCTATAAATAAAAGACCAACTAAACTGATGCAGTAGATTGTATTTCTTACAGGCACTTGGAACATTTCAATAATAAACTTATGGTAAATTTACACGAAGTGTTTTTACTACCAAAGTCTCATAATTTTTCACGCATATATGATAGATATGACAGATATGATAATGTTGCCTGATGGTAATCGTAACGGTAATTGTGATATTGAAGATGATGATGGTGGTGGTGGTGGAAGTGACAATAATCAATGATCATGAGTGATGACGACGGAGAATGAGGGAGAATGACGTATTTATGTCATGGGCAAGATAATGATTATTCTATTATTCCACGTAAGTGTTAACTCTTATGACTTGCATCATCAAAGCAAACACATGAACACACATTTGCAGGGCCCTAGCTAGGATTTATTTGTCTGTAGCCAAACAATTAGCCAGAATCAATTTTCATTAGCCAATTTGGATTCCTGTTAGCCACATCTGTAGCCTAACATTTTATGAACACAAAAAGGCGATAAATAATTTTTCTTTTCTTTATTTTTTCACAAAACTACACTTATTTAATGCAAACAAACTATTATTCACCACCTGTCTATGACTGAGACACTAACACTATGATTCACCACCATGACTCTGACTGACAGAGACATTCAAATTGTCTGAATTTTGTTCTTCACTGCTGGCAGGAAAATTCTCCTATCTTTTTTGGCACACCTCTGGACATAGCACTTTTCACAGTCAAACATCTCTTCTTCTGGGTCTTCGCTTTTGATGGTTAGAATGTCAAAAACACTTTCTGTTTTCAGCTGATTTCTCAGAACTGTTTTAACCAAATTATGTCTGCTAAAACCCCTCTCCACATCAACTGTTGTGGATGGTAGGGTCACAAACAGCTACTTTTTACAGTACCTGACGCACAATACGCACGCATGCGCACACACGTACGCACGCACGTACGCACGCACGCGCGCAGTACAGTATAGACAGTACTATACACACAGTATAGTTATTTATAGTAATACTAATAGTTTACAGAAGAGTTTTCACAGCACATGCATATACTCTACTACTTTTGTAACTTCGGGATGCTATTGAACCAGAAAAATTAGCTGCTCATCAAAGCTGACTATATTCCCCAGTTAGTACTTATCAGTTTTACTACTTTTTACAGTACCTCACACACAGTACACACACAAACACACACCTACACGCATGCACACGAACGCACGCGCGCGCACACAGGCGTAGTAAAAATCATTTGATTTTTGCCAGCGCCGTTGCCGTGCCGTGTGTGGAGACAGGCCTTTTTTAAACCCCAGGGTTTCTTCTGAGGGAAAATTAGACAACGGTGGTAATGCCCAGTTTGGGGAAAAACGCACATGATGGATTCAAAGGTGTGCAGTAGGCACGAATGTGGATTCTGCAGGCAGACGCGGGGGGAGAGAGGTAGAGGGCCGGGGGTTCTGGGGGTCTCCCCCAGCAAAATTTAAAACATTTGAATGTCTTAGACTGCATTTGATGCACCCCGAAAATAAAATTTCACCCTTTAGTTTAAATCTTACTCTGTTAGCAGACCTACTAAGTCTCACGCTGCGCATTTCGCGGGAGACTCACGCATCTGGACCCATTCTCCCGCGCTCCCGCGTGCCCTACACATTCTCACGCATTCACGCCAAAGAAAAAAAAACCCAAAAAGCAGCCCGCGACACCCCTGTTACCCACTTCCGTGGCTGTGCACATCGTCGCTCGTGCTTGCTGGCTGGGCGGCATTGATTGAAGTACGGGGGGGGGGGGGCGAATGCACTGATTGTTACAGTCGCGTGGGTGTGGTTATTGCTGTATATGTAGGGGTGGGCACCGCGCTGGTTATTATGGAGGACAGCAAAACTTTCCCGGGATCAAGGAAAAAGCTGCAATCGGGAATGACACACGAGTGTGCTGGCATGCAAAAAGAAACGTTGCTGTTTCGACGATCAAATAGGATCGATGTTTGCTGGGTCATGTTTATTACGAAAAATTACGTTCGTCACTTTTTTCGCCTAATAAGACTTTCAATCGCCAGATTACTAATTTGTTCGCCATTGGCGAATTGGCGAGTGGGTAGCGAGGGCCCTGCATTTGTGATAAAGGCAACACTAGTGTGAAGTGTAATTGTAAACATCAATATCAACACAATACATGTACACGCGACCTCAAAGGTACAATAGAAACATGCAGTTACTTTAAGTCGAAAAAAATTCGACTTCCAGGGAAGTTGAAATCCGTGTAAGTCGAAGCTTTTCCTCCAGTCCCGTTGGATTCGACTTCTAGTTGAGGTCGACTGTATGTCCTGTTTCTTCTTGTCATTGGTCCTTTCTGGTAATGTGAATTGCCAATGACACTGGTGGTGCTCCGCATCCAACACGCGGCGTAACAATCATGCGATAGCTGCATAAACAACATTGCCTTTGCCAACTAAATAGGGTACCGTACCTATCAAAATTATCTCAAAAACTAGTGTGATTAATGATTTTTTTTTCGTTTTAAATATCAGCCACATAAAATAAAGAGAAGTCATTCTGCATTGCAAGCAAAGAATTTGTTATTGTCACGTGTTTGTATTGCTTTATATCTAATTTCAGCTGAGTTGTACAAGTGGCATAGGATCAAAAGCTTTTACATGCCAGACCTGGATCAGGGTACTAGCTAGCCGAAATCAATTCAGTGGACACATTTTTTACACGCAGGTTTGCATGTTTACAATACCCACGTGAGTAGGGCATCTTCATCATTGCATATCATTGATGATGTCTATTTGATTGTGTGAATCATGATGAAGAGATATTCGAGTATATATAGTGGATTCAGCTGTATATTTAGTAAGGATTAAGTGCATAGAATTAAAAATTACGTGAATTTTGCAGTGTAATTTGCTATACCAGTATTATTTCCTTTTAACTTGAAAGTCATGGTTATTTTGTATTTCCATATTATCTACATTTATAATCTAACCTTGAGTTTGTTGTTGTTATAGAGCACTGCTAGATGCAGATGTGGGAGCATGAGTATCTAATCTAGAAATCACATGTTTAGTCACAATATATTTTTCTATCTCTTTTGCTTGGTTTCATCAGAGAAGGCATGTCTCGCAGCAACCACAAAAACCTGGCTTCTTTGGTCAGATATTCCAGAATATCAAACAAGACTTGGACAAAAATAAAGAAATGCAGGTAAATTTTAATGCAAAGATGTTAAAACCATAGCTGCAATAAAAGTTATCAAAAGCAACGAAGTCTCAGGTTAAAATATAGTGTACACAAAATGACACTAAATGTATAGGCTATCCATTTTAGATAATTTTGTTACTATATAATATATGTAGGCAATTCCAGGGTAACTCACGTCACATTTAATGGGTACTTTCATTCATATTTATGATCATATTCATTTATTTGGAGATCATATGGGTAGATTTTCTCTGAGGAGCTTCATTACAGGTATAATAACTAACCCCCCCCCCCAAAAAAAAGATAAGAAACATAACTTATGATCCTTAATTCCTTAACACCTTAATTCGGAAACTCCTCATACTGAGCACTTTTATTCGAAAAATGTGAAATATATAAATAATATGAAAATATGAAAAATATAACGCCGAAAAACTGAACACTGTCTCGTAGTTTCTGCTGAATTAAGTAAACTTACGCACGTCGTTTAATACATTATAACTCGGTTATATGTTTGCTTGAGTTGAGAATGCAATTGTTCCCATCACATCCCTTAACCGAGTTAGAAGTGCATAAAGAAGCACTAACATTTGGATTTCACAGCCTGGAATTTACCTAGTGCTACGTCAGTCTTGCGTCATTCGGACCTTAAGGGGAAGTTCATGTGTTTCCATTACTTATTGGTTGCTTTTTGATGAATGGTTTGAACTAAATTAGTGAGTATGCATAATCTTTCCAATGTCTATTTTCAGTGAGTACTGGGTGTGTTTCAGGCATGTGTTTTTCTTTGCTTATTGCACAGTGAAGTGTGATAATAAGAGTAAAGCTAATTCATATCGACATTATATTTTTCATACTACATCCACATGGCTTACTTAATTCCAGTAAAACTGAGTCAGTTTTCAGTTTTTGTTATTGTTCGCTCTAGGGTTTCTATGATCTTGATCATATAAAATGTTTGATTGTTTGTTACGAACAGGACAGTTTAAAGAAGTTCCGCAAAGAAGCTGATAAACTGGAACAGTCGGAAGCACTAAAAAAAGCTCGGCAAAAATATGTAAGCTATAATATCTTCTGGGGAATTCATCTATTTGTCTAATAGTAGGGGTGTAACGATATACCGGTATATCGGTATATTGCAATATATTTTGAAAACTCGATATATCGCGATACAACTTCCGGATATCGATATTTTACGATACGGTGGTATAACAAGAAATAAATTACTTGACACTTGCCTTTATGTCTATATTGTTAATGGGCTCGAAAATTATGCACTGGCGGTGTATATATTACGAAAGCACAATGCCTTCACGACGCATACAGTATTACTGGTAAGTGACCACTGCATGGAGCACTGCGCGGTACTACTGCGCGGGCAGCGTAGGGCAGACGTGTGCGCGAGGCAGAGAGCACGGCAACAAGGGAGTCTATATATAGCATATGCTCACCTGAGTGCCCGCGCGCGCGCGATACCAGCTGAAGCGAGCACCCACTGTTTCAGTTTCAGTTTCAGTTTCAGTATCCAGTATAAGCCAATTATGCAGCAGGGGTATTGTGTATTCCAGCTACGTCAGTGCCTTCCGAGAGGGTATTCAGTACAGCGGGTGACATTTTTACGGCACAGAGGGCTGCACTGTCAGCGGAAAACATTGCCGTGCTTCTGTTTCTCAAGAAAAACATGAGAAATTAAATCATGTCATATAATACAATATATGATGATATTAAAACCATCAAATTGTTACTATATCATGCATGGTATACACTTCCCAATACGTATTGGAAAATATTGCAATACGGTTTTGTTGTATTGCAATATATTGCAATACGGTTTTTGGTCGCAATACTCACCCCTATCTAATAGGTAATTGGATCAAATAGAAGAGCAATATTGCGCTTCAGACGTTTTTAGGGGTTAATTACTTCATGCAATATTATATTTATAGAAATACATTTGAAGTACTTAGTCTTGTAACATGCTTGATAAGTACTGGGTATGCAACTATGTTTGGCAATCTTTCAAAAATTATTGTTTGGTGTTAAGCTAGTCCATAACTAGTCATTGAACATATTGATTTTTTCAGCCAATTTGTATTCTTATTACTATTACAGGATACGATTGAGAGTGAAAGCTCTTCAGCAGTGAAAGAGACGTTAGATGTATTGAAAGGAAAGCTATCAGAGGTAAAGTCACTTGCAAGGACATTGGTGGTTAATAATTATCTGCCTGTTGTCATTTTAGCTGTTTAATTCCGAAGAATTTTATTAGGTCGAAAATCAAGCATAAAGTGTGAATAATTTTGTTAGGGGGATATTTGATGATAGCATTGAGGTTGTTAGCCCTGTTACAGACTCTAGAGGAAGCAAAGAAATCCGACATTGCTAAGAAAGGTGCTGAATTTACTGAGGATCTAGCAAAGACAGCCAAAGGAGCAGCAGAAACTATCACGAAACAAACTGCAGAAATAGGAAATACTCGAGTGTTCAAGACTGTGTCATCAGTAAGTTGATGAATAGTAAATAAAAGTAACCGACAGAAGACCGACTCTACTCTATTACTGACATTTGTTTATGTGCGTGCGTGCGTGCGTGCGTGCGTGCGTGCGTGCGTGCGTGCTGGTGTGTGTGTGACTGAAATCCTTTGTTAATACAGCATCTACTGCATTTAGAGATTGGTTGTATGTGCTATGTAGGTTCTTACATGAATTATTTATCATTTGAACATAAGGGTGTTCAAGCTGTGTCAGAGGAGATCCAAGATACGGCCTTTAAACGTGCTAGGCAGTACAAGGCTCCAGGTATGATGGCAATTTATAATTAGCTATCTAAAGAAAGCCAATTATCTTTCTTGCAAGTGGCATCTTAACGGAATTGTTTCATAAATAACTGCACAATCAAGAAAATTATAGTGAAGTGTAGTCTCACCTATAACAAACATATATGTTACTGATTTCTTCAGTGTAAAAATTAACATGGGTTTATGCTGTTTTTGTATATAAAATAGCAAATAATGTTGCCAAATTCTTTCATATAGTGACAATTCCTTTGAAATCCTCGTGCAACCACCAGCCAAAAGTGCATCTTATTGAGTGACGTAGTGGTTCTAGACTAGTACAAAATCGCTATTGCTTAATTCAAGTTAATGTGTAAAAGTACAGGGACAGGGTCTCACGAGAATCAAGTGGCATCATCATGTCACCGCGTCAACACGATGTAAACAAACTATTTTCAATCGTTGTACATTTTTGTGAAAATGATGTACGGGGGTTCTAGGACATTTTAGCTGTATTTTAGACAATTGTTATGCAAGCAATAACAGTAAATATTGTAGTGGTCAGAAAAATACAAGAACGGTTGGGAAGACTGTTTGAAATAATTACTTTAACTGTATATCTATATGCCTACAAATCCGTTTTGTCGATACTAAACCCTGCTCCCTATTTGCTCATAATGCATGATGGTATCAGGAGTCTATCAATAGATATTGATAGACTCCTGATGTTATGGTAGGCGCTTATTATATGGAATGTATAGTAAGTAGTACATGTAGTAGTACATGGTGATATAGTGGATTAAGAGTATATACATAGTGATTATAGCAGTGTATGGTGACATGGTACATGGTATTGCATACAACACTGATAAACCAACCTTCATTTTTTAGCCAAGCTAAAGAAACGAAAAGAGGTAGGCTTTGAAAGTAAAGAGAAAGTCATCGAGGCAGATGAGTAGGTATTTTTCAGATTTATCATTGCAAAATAATAAATGGCCCTTAGTAATTCATCTATAATATATCATTTGAGAAGTATGTCTCTTTATATATTTATTTAATTGTTTGTACTTATATAGGAGCACAACTGGAATGGAGTTACATAAGGACTCACGCTGGTACCAGAGTTGGCAAAACTTCAAGGATAATAATCAATATGTAAACAGTGCGTATATGTAGACCTGGAATAAATTAGTAACTGGGCTTCTATATAGTAAAATGTGTCTGGAAATCAACTACAGCTTAGAATTCACTTCTCATATAATCTCACTATAGCAATATTGATATATCAATGTTTCTACTACTGGGAGGTAATTCAATTGGCAACAAATTTTACTATTTTTAATGGGCATGATCCACTTGTTACAGAGCAAGTTGACTGTGTGTTATCAGCATATATACTAGCTGTGACAATAATGTCCTTGTGGGTGTACAGAGAGTGTATATGGTTTTCCATGATGATGATGACATTTTATGTAGTTTGAGCATGATGATACATAACTGCTTTCACCGGCTGACTGAAGCATGGTTAATAGCGTCATCTAACGAGCTGTAAGGGGAAACGTGGACAGATATGTACACGATGCTTTGTGTTGTTACATGGTTCCACAATTGTTGCATACTTCAGAGTTCTTTGATTTGAAGATGAAATATGATGAGAGCGACAACGTGGTGATCAGAGCTTCACGGTTGCTAACAGATAAACTAACAGACATGTTTGGTAAGTGTGCGAGTAGTGGAATGTCATGCTGAGTCGTGGGAATTTTCTATTGCCTTATTGCACCAGCGCTCGAAGTTAACCACATCGCTTGTGGTGAGTGCAGGTCGCAAGGATGTGTATTGCTATTAAAGCAACTATTACACCTGGAGTTTGTTTTCAGAAACCAGTGTTACCAGACATTTGACAATGCTCGTAGTTGTGAATCAGGAGGTAATAAGGATAGTGAGAAAGAATGTGTTATTAGGCAATAATGTTGTGAGCTATATTCTCTACATTAGTTCCCCTGACATCATGCTTCCTGTACATCAATTGCAGGTGGATTATTCTCAAAGACTGAGATGTCAGAAGTGCTAACAGAAATCTGTAAGATGGACCCGAATTTTGACAAGGAGAAGTTTCTAGTCGAGTGCGAATATGAAATCATTCCCAACATACTCGAGGTATCTGGTTAATAGGTTTATTTGTGAATTGTTTAGTAATCTGTTTTTTTTCTTACCCTTATACATATGTGTTTTCATTTTGATTTGAGTAGCTATGCAGCAGTATGCATCCAGAGAACCAACTCAGAATTTTGACTAACTTAACTCTTCATACAATATCAGAACAGCAATAATATATCAGATTTTCCACATGCAAAAAAAACTTGAAACAAAAGGTTGGTTCAAGCAGAATATGTGTTTCTCGAATTGATTGTTTTACAGTTATTCATATGTATAAGGCAGTAAAGTTATTAATCAGTGAGAATGTGATTCTACACTCCAGGCTATGGTGCGAGGTGACACAGAGATCATAAAGGACTGGTGCTACGAAGCGGTAAATAAACATTTTCCTCTTCTTACAAAGTATAAGTTATAGTTAGACAGGAAAAAAGATTTTGTAGCTGAAAATACAGTTTCCGGAATTGCCATCGCTTTATTTGTCAAGTATGTGCAAGGAAGATGCCCTAGAGTATGTGTCAAGTATGTGATTGGCATTGCATGCCAGCAGTCATTGGTTAATTTTTATGGAAAGATCAACTGCAGGGGGCTCAGAGATGTGAACATTATGTAATCTGTGGAAAATGGGGAAATTTGCTTAAAACTGTAAAAAGTGAGAAGAAAATGTCCATGTTGATGACATCGATTGATGAAATATTTTAACTCGCCTATCAGTGCCTTAGTATAGATGCTGTTGATGCTCATTTTGTTCCCTGGCTATTCCTGTGCTTCTGCCCTCATGTGTTGTTTAATTGTATTGAAGACCTTGTTGGTACAGAAATCGTTTCCGACGACTGTTCTGAATTTTTATGCATGCTTGGTACGCAGTCGGCATTGTATCATATCTACGCAACCCTCCTTCACGCTGAGTTTAATCAAAATATTGTTTGGAAAGTTGGGAGATCCACGAATGAACTGTTGACAACTTCACCATTTTATTTGTCCTGGGCCATTCGCGGGATTGCAGACGTTAACTTAAAACTATTCAGGTTGCGCTAACTCATTTGTACATGGAATTAATGCAGCGTAGACTCCTACATTTGTTAAGGCGAAATACAGCGGGTACCAGTTTAACTTAAAACTAGCATGACTGCCATCTGCAGGGGAGATATTATACACTAGAGTTACCTTTCTTGCCCGACGGCATACGTCCCAAGCAGTAGGCCTATAGCGTGAATCTTTGCAGAATCGGATGGCAATAATGAATAAACATCTTTCACAGTTTTGCTCAGGGGCCAGCAAATTGTAGTGTTTGCTTAATTTTCTATCACAAATTGCGATGCAATACCGCTTATTTTGTGCCTTGCTGTAGTACTCTGTAGTAGGTTGTTCAGGTACTGTATGACAGTCTCTGTCATCTGTTCATTTTGCAGCCATACAACGTACTCACACATCCGATGAAGCAAGCGCACGGGCTTGGCTACAAGTTTGACTCCAAGGTTCTGGATGTTGATCATGTTGATGTAAGTTTCGTGCGCCGTATAGAATTGTCATTATTGATGGCCTTAATTTGCCAAGATGACCACAGTCTGTGTCACCTGTTATAGCTATTAAAGGTAGATTCCCTCGAACTTTCCACGTAAATTTTTATAACAAACCACTGTAAAAACGTAACTAAATAACTCACTACACTTTAACTGAACGTTAGCTTTGAAAATAAAACTGTAAAAGTATGTATCAAGCCTATATTTGCTCAACGAAGAAACAACTCGAAAAATGCTTTTCCCTGCGGTTCCGTATAATGGCGCCATATTGTATTGTTTATATTTGAGCAACCATCATTTCAATCGAGTCAATGAAGCCACTCAATGTAGGCAAAAGTAAACGGTGGGAAACATTCGACCCCAACGTTTCACTTTGTAGTCTAAAAGCTTCGAATGAACGTATTCCCAAGCATTTTTCCCCCTATTACATATATAGGCAAGTACAAACGTGCAATGTTAAAATAATTCATTGTATCCCCCGAGACGAAGTCGGCGGGGATACTATGGTTTCATGTCTCCCCAGCCGCCGCCGCCGCAGACAATTTCCCTCCCCCGCTCTACTACTCGCGACCCTAATTGACCTACGCGCTCACCTCGGTACTATACTTACACATCTTGGGGAGAAGGTGAGCAGTCGCTATCAACTCAGGTCCCCTACCTTTATCTCTGATCCATTTACGCTCTGACCTTGATCATATTTCCCTTCCGCTCTCTAACTCAGCCCCTAATTACCTCCGTACCAAACTGGTCTTACATTACACACCTCGCGGCACGCGACGAGGTGAGCAGCGGTATCAAAACCTACTCACTGCGATCTCTTTATTTGACCTATTATCCTTGACCTTGACTCATATTTCCCTTCTGCCTCTCTAACTCGGCCCCTATTGAACCTAGGCGCTACCAAACTTGTAATATTAGCAATCTTGGCTGGACCCCTTCCCCCGCTGCGCAGCATACCAAAACCAGGGGCCCTGTTGTCAAGAACAATCGTAAAGTTAATGCTAAAGTTAATGCTATGAAAACACTACGACTAATGCCAATGTTGCCTCTCCCACCGCAAAAACCGCACATCGCCAGCTATTAAAAAACTTACCCTAACAGATACTTCATCACAAGGCTGGCCCTGAACTTGCCGCCATCGAGCAATCGATCACAAAATTCAGAATTCCATACACAATTTATTGTACATCACACGAAATCAAAAAAAACAAAACAACACAAAAACAAAATTTTATGCACTATATATCGATGGCTACACCACATTACTGAAATCTCTCTTGATGAAACAATGACCGTGTCGCATGAATTTATCTGCACGAACAAATTTTACACTATAACGCAGACCACGATTTGCTGGCACAAAGCATCGGCGTAAACAATAAAAACACCGAGAACAAATGCCATATCGCCATTGTCGTAAATGTATTGTTTTGTTTTATTAGCGGTAGGATAATCTAACTGACTTTTGACGTTGGCTTTTTCAACAGAAAAACACATTTTGATTGCTATTATTATTCAAAGTATAACTTACCTCCTTCGTAATTCGTCAGTGTAAATGTAGTTATTTTATCAATCTTAATATTAAAGTTACGAAGGGTCTGGCGCTCTCCGTACACGTTAAGCGCTATCTTGCCCGAGGATTTCCTTCTCGTAAACATTACGCGCATGTTTCTGCTTCAACGGTTTACGAGTGGAAGTAAGTAAGACTAATTGTTGGCGATAATTTTGTTTCTGACAACGCCCCCCCCCCGGTCACTGCGACCTTATTTGACCTTTACCTTTTGACCTGAGATCATATTTTCCTTCCGCTCTCTAACTCCGTCCCTAATTGGACTAGCGCTACCAACTTTGGGATATACACACATTGGGGGAGAAGGTAGCAGCGTACCGAAAACCTAGGTTGCACTGGCGACCCTATTATTTAGAACTCTTTCCTTGGACTTGATATCATCTTCCCCTTCCGCCTCTCTATACTCGGGGCCACCATCTAGTACCTCAGCCGCCTACCAAACTGCCCTCTATATTCTTGGCGCAGTAGAGGTGAGCCAGGCCCTTCCCCCCGCTACCAAAACCAGGTGACCAAGACCTAGTATTCTGACCTTTACCTTGACCTTGATTATAGTTGCCACTTCCGCTCTATAACTCGGGCCCCTAATTGGACCTACGCTACCAAAACCAGGTTCACAAAGACTTTATTTTCACCTTACCTTGGACCTCTGATTATAGTCCCTTCCGCTCCTATAACTCCGGGCCCTAATGGACCTAGCGCTAGCCAAACTTGCCCCCCTATACTCTACCATCCTAGGATGAATGTGCCTTCGTCCGCGTACCAAAACCAGTCGACTGCCCGGACGCTTATTCACCGGTTAGACGACCCGATCATACTCTTCCGTTCACTTACTTGACCCCTAATTTGATCCCTCGACCAACACTTTGATGAATACCTTACCACACTCTTGCGGCGAACCGGCTAGCATGTAGTTGGCGACAACTGCCCTTTCTAGTTTTTGCCTGATTTTATGTTTTCCGCTTGAAAGTTTGAGGGAGGCTATACCTTTAAAGCCTCAAATACTATATCTCGCAATAATATCGTTGAATTTACCTTGATCCTTTGAAATGGTTCAATGTTGAGATGAATCCAACATAGCAGCATTTTCAACAGCCGGTCGTATGCTTTTGTCAAGCTCTACTCTAAACTGTGCTAGGAAATATCAAAATCCTCGTCAGTAACAGACTGAACTTCTTGCAGTGAGTGCGTTCTTGCGATGATTCATTTGTGTTGTGTTATGTGAGAGGATTGTTTGTGTTCTTTACAGCTGGCCATGGGTAAGATCATGGAGCAGGGACCGGTTCTCATCATCAGCTTTGTCTCTCAGCAGATTCTCTGCATACGAGACAAAAGTAGCAAGGTCATTGAAGGAGACCCAGTAAGCACCACACAACCCCTCCATTATAATCTGTTAGCATATAGCTCCGTGGTGTTGAGTAATGTCAAACCCTCATAGCATAGTGCAGTTGGTCTGTGGCCTGTAAAGATGGTCCTGGCTTCAACTCCACAGTTCCCCTTGTAATGTCTTCTACGCTCGCGTTGTACGATATTTATACTGTAATGATTTTTACTTATTTTGTTGTTTTGGTTAAAATGGATGCATGGTAGATGTTTTATTTCCAGTTGTTATTAAAACTTAGCTGCAGTAAATGTAAAACAAGCAGTGAAAATGAAAAGTGCTTGTTTTTTTAAATGATCAATCTCACCTTTGTTTTTGTAGGATAAGGTCGTTAGGATCCAATACGTGTGGGTTTTATGTAGAGATCAGGCAGAGCTGGATCCCAAGGCAGCATGGAGATTGCTAGACTTATCAGCAAGTTCACAGGAGCAGTGGTTGTGATACCACTTTGTGATAGACCTTAGTCAAACCAATCATAATGACTGTGACTCTTACATAGGAAATACATGGCTAAAATGTTATGCGAAGACGTTCGTTGGAGTGAAGTGATAAAAAGTATTGTGCTAATTTTATCCGAGAGGTTGACCAATTTCCTGATAACCCATTTGGTATTAGTGTGATACTATCATAAGAAGTCTGATTGCTTCTCTTTAATCTACCAACATTTGCATACAGTGGTAGTGTCGTGACAGCACCAGGAAGGGTAATGGACAGCCGAAAAAATGACAGCGTTTGGCGTACAATGCATTGTGCCATGCGTTATGTACATGATGTCTGCAATAGCATTGCTTCATAAGAGCTATTAGTAAATAGGGATGCGTACAGATTTGCACACATGCTATGGAGATTTATGTGTCTTCTGTCAAATGAAAGTGTTGGGAAAATTGTCTCTGAATAGTTGAATGTGTCATTGCTCACAGCATCATCATTGAAAAACTTAAAAGTTACGATTTATTTTTAGTGCTTATAGTATGTATTTATACGGGCATAGTATGCTTTTTGGGACCTATGTACAGGTTTCTGAAGTAGATTTTTTATAAAGTGCTCGCATATGGTGGCACAAGAGGACTTCTAGTATGAGCACATGCAAAGGGAAATGCCATTACACGATATATAGAATGTAATATCTTGAGAAGTATAAAGTGTATACTTTCCCTGTTTGCCGTGGTACGTCATGCTGATCTGTCTCACAGCAAGTGATTGTGGTGTTTAGAACACTGCTTAGTAAATAAGTGTGCCGTTTGGCATGCATATGTGAAGAATGTATAAATTTGTCCAGCTTGACATACCTAGCAAAAATAATGGCTGGGGTGGGGTATCTCACTTGGTGGGGACTGGGGAGGTGAGTTTAAATGGACTGGATATAGATTCGCCTACTTGCCCGGTTGCAATTGTTTGTGGATAAGTGAGAAGCTCAATATCCCGACATCCTTTTGGCGGTATATGTACAGTAAAGTGTAAAAATGAGTGAGGTGCACACATCTATGTTAATAGGTATGCCGGCTTGAATGCAACTGCATTGAATCTAAATATATCGCTGTGCTAGCTGTACTTTACTGAGGGCGTTGAGCGTTCCATTTTCAACTCGTACTATAGTCAGCCTAACCCAGTGGCAGCAAGAGCAAGCCAACACCACCACCGTGCTCACGCTATGACATATATATATATATATTATATATGCGCGAGGGTGCGTGTGTGCGTGCATGCGTGTGATGTCCTGTTTAGATTAGCGGTTAGTAAAGGCCCCTTCACACTAGAGCTACGCGTATCAGCACAGACATTTCAATAATAAAATGATAGTTAATAAGTTTTAATATTTCTCTACACAAGTTCACTGCACGAATGCCGCTGTGCACAAACAACAAAAATATAGTTTTTTATATGTATATTTTTAGCTCGCCTTGACATCGTCAAGATGAGCTATTGCCATGGTGTGTCGTCCGTCGTACGTCCGTCCGTCCGTCAACATTTGGCTACGGTCAATGATAACTCAAGAACCGTTTGACCCACATGTTTCAAATTGCATATAGTTGTCACTCCTATGGGAGAGGTTTGAACGTCCTATTTTGGAGCACGCCAGTCGACCTACTTTCGAGCCACGCCAACTTTTTGGCAAAAATGGAAATGGCCATCTAGATTAATTCGATTTTGTTAAATTTACCTACCTACCTACCTAATCATACTTACGTACATGTAATACTGTGTTTTAGATTCTTCGTTACAGTAATTTGACTGGAACATGTCATTACTTTTATTTGCGCGATAATCGAAAAGCAAAATGGCGATCATTTAGGCGTAGCGCCATCTCTCGCCCAGATTTCAGACTTTCATATCTGAAACATTTATTTTCGCATCAAAACTAACCCTGAAACAAAACAGTAAAATTTCTATTAGTATAAAACGGGGAATAAGGAATTTTGATCACATTTCGGTTCGTCATAAATGAAACGCATACCCCTACCGCTACCCATACCGGACTTCTCCCACTATTTCTGGCTGTGCTAACAGTTCTGGTGCTGGCATCCTTCCTGCCATGAGTATTCCCCCTCAAGACAATCCCTTAATATCCCACAGTAGATAGGCACCTAGCTCATACAGTCATACCTCTCCTATAAACCCACACTACAGTTATAATTAACCATCTAGTGTGTCACACAACTCGCACTATAGTTACAAATATCCACCTCGCACCTCGCACCTCGCACCTCGCACCTCGCACACCTCTGTACGTACGGGAGACCATACTAGCCGAATCGCGCGTACACTTACTGGCTACGATGACCATCAGTTGCAGTAGTTCTTGTCGACCATCTGCGTGCACTTTCAGCAGCGCACCTCGCAGCACCTTAAGAACTTGCAGTCGCAGTCCTCGGTCACCTGCTCGACCATCGTGTGGTAGCCCAGCCCGCAGCACATCAGCCTGCAGCCGTCGATGCCGTAACTCGTGCGGTTGCACTCTCGGTGGCGCGTGCCCAGCGAGCCGATCATCGGGGCGTACTCTCAGAAGTCGGGCGACTCTTCCAGGTAGACGAGATCCTTCTTCGTCGGCTGCTTCTGTCCCTTGGTCTTCGGTCGCAGATGCGTGCGTCGCTTGTTAAGGTCGACCAAGGTCGCTCCGTCGAACCGCTGCTTCAGCATGCTCCCGATGCGCCGGAAGTCGGACATTTTGGGCCAACATACCTTGATGGAACAGGAACCGGAAACGCGGTGGCACTTGCAGACGATCTTCATCGTGCTGCGGATGGACTGTGAGCGGAAACGGAAGTCTGGTCGTAGGTAAGAGCATTATAGTTAATAGGTAATATATAGGTGCGGGCGGACAGCCGGGCACTTTGCCACATCCGGGACTTTCTTAACCTAGCAACCAGCTGTGCCGGTGAAAACAATAGCCTGTCTCCGTGACCCGGGCCCCCCACTCAGTAGCTGCGTTCACACGTATACACGGCCTAGCTGGTACCGTACTTAGTTGGTGCTAAGTTCTGGTAAAATGCGTTCACACGAGATACACGAGATTCGAGGCTTAGCTAGCTAGGTATAATATAGACTGGTACCCGGTCGACAGTTCCACACGCTACACTAACGTCGTGCAGCGAACGGGTAGCAGTCTAGGTTAGAGCGCTACAGTTTCGCAATTCACACGAACAATGCTTTCACAATGCGCGAACAACACGAACAATGCGTTCACACGACAATCAATACGCGGCCAGCGTGGTGCCGAATATACGCGGCTTAGTTGGCGCGGAATATGATTCCGCGCTAAGCAAGCCGGAGCAATCGCGGCTAAGCAAGCCGTGGCTAAGCAAGCCGCGTATATTTTAGCGTGTGAACGCAACTAAACTTCTCGTGTGAACGCAGCAAGTGTTATTTAGGGTACGTATATGGCTCGTTCCTTCCTTTGAAAGCACCCCCCCTATCTCAGGACTCGCCAAAATTTCTGAACCCCCTTTCGGGCTTTTTGCGGGTTTTTCCTGCCTTGGAGACCCCCTTAAATCCGGAACACTGCTTCTAATAGGGAACTAGGGAGCAATATTTTTACTTTTCAAAATAAAATAATTCTGAATGAGCTTTCAAAACTAGCAGGAATTTCAGGAATTTGATCCCGGGATTTGATAAAAGTTTTCTATAATATTCAAGATGAAAGAGAGAGGAAAAACACCCTTTTAGCTCATCTGACATAGTCAGATGCAGCTTGTAGAATCGCATGATCGTCCGTGCGTGCGTCCGTGCGTCCGTCACAGTTGGGCACAAATCTAAACGGCTCGACGTACGGTACGATATTCGGGACTGGGGGGTAATCCGAAAACGAGTTGGGATGTCGAAGCTGGGGGTCAAAGGTCAAAGGTCAAGAGGTGTAAAAGAAGGGGAACATTCCCTCCTTACTTAAGGTATAGGGAGGAAATGCAGAATGGCGGCCAAATCTAACGGCTCGACCTAGGCTCGTGATAGTCGGTGTATAGCATCATGGTAGGAAAAGCCATCACTGTGCCGAAATTGGAGGTCACAGGTCAAAGGTCAATGGGGCACAGGGCAGATTTTAGAACATTTTCTGAGGACATGGCGTGACCGAGCGATTGAAAAACTTTTTTGTTTCAGCGGTGACCTACTATTTTTATGGCTTTATTGAAAGGACCATGAAATGTGCTTTCCACTGACGTGCGAAAAGTTAAGTGGTGATAACTTTTTGACCCTCAAGAGGGGAATAAGGTTAAACATGGATTTGTTGACTGTTAACAAAGGAGTGAACTGCTTTTGCTATTAGAGCCCCCTCCAGCTCCCTTCCCCTCCCCCCCCCTCCCCCCGCCCCTCCCCCACCCTCCCCACCCTCCCCCACCCTCCCCCTACCTCCATCTGCGATAGTGGCGTGTCCTAACAATGATGTGTACGCAACTGCGTGTCTGCATATCTGCGCCTAACAAATGTGGTACTACGCACGACTGAAATTTTACGTTTATAATCGTAGCAACAGACCCTCAGATGAGCCCAGACGCTCTGCGGCTCTTGTTTAAAGAAATCTCCGGGTAAAAATTCAAATACACCCCTTTTTTTACAATTCTTGGGCCGGATCTTGTCGCGCGAAAATACCCCTTTACCGGAGATTTTGGGAACGCGCATGCGGTCCCTCCGATCTCGGAGTGGGGGGCCCGGGCTCCGTGAGCTTACACACGCAATACCCCATTTCAAACCAAAAGCATACTAATTTCCTTGCATATATGCCGAAAACGTGTGTAGTAGTAGGTTGTCACAATCATATATATTGCACGAGATAGAAAAGATTTTTTTTTTTAGCTGCCAAAATGACATAAGAGTCCAGAGAGGCGTGATAAGTCATAAGTGGCTGACTAGCTGCCACTAAATGTAAATGCAGTAAATGAGTAAATGTAAATGGTACGCACTGGAGTCCGTCAAAATTCTCCACTATTTGTTCTGATCATTTCGTGACAGGTAACTACTATTTTATAACTGCGTGTGTGTGTGGGTGTGTGTGTGTGTGTGTGTGGCGTGCGCGCGTGCGTGCGTGCGTGTGAGTGTCACTGTGTGTGTGAGTGCCTGTGCGTGTGCGTGCGTCTGTGTGTGTGCGTGCGTGCGTCCGTCCGTGCGTGCGTGTGTGTATGCGTGTGCGTATGCGTGTGCGTGTGAGTGTGAGTGTGTCACTGTGTGTGCGAGTGCGTGTGCGTGTGCGTGTTTGTGTGTCACCGTGTGTGCGTGTGCGGTGTGGCGTGTGCGTGTGAGTGTGTCACTGTGTGTACGTGTGCGTGTGCGTGTGAGTGTGTCACTGTGTGTACGTGTGCGTGTGCATGTGAGTGCGTGTGCGTGTGCGTGTGCGTGTGCGTACGTGTTTGTGTACGCGTGTGCGTGTGCGTGTGCGTCCGAGTGTGTCACTGCGTGTGCGTGTGCGTGCCGGTCCGAGTGTGTCACTGCGTGTGCGTGTGCCGTGTGCATGTGCGTGTGCGTGCGTGCGTGCGTGCGTGTGCGCGCGTGCGCGTTTGTGTGTCATGTGTGTGGCGCGTGTGCGTGTGCGTATGCGTGTGCGTGTGCGTGTGACGATGTGTCACTGTGTGTGCGAGGCGTGTACGTGTGCGTGGTGCGTGTGAGTGTGTTACTGTGTGTGCGTGTGCGTGTGCGTGCGTGCGTGCGTCCGTGTGCGCGCGTGCGTGTGCCTGTGTGTGCGTGTGCGTGCGTGCGTGTGCGCGCGTGTGCGTGTTTGTGTGTTCGTGTGTGTGTGTGCAAGTGCGTGTGCATGTGCGCGTGCGTGTGAGTGTGTCACTGTGTGTGCGAGTGCGTGTGCGTGTGCGTGTGCGTGTGCGTGTGCGTGTGCGTGTGCGTGTGCGTGTGCGTGTGCGTGTGCGTGTGCGTGTGAGTGTGTCACGGTGTGTGTGTTATTATCTACTCGTGCACATATGTATCTTACATAATGTCATAATTATAGCTACAGAACGGCTATCCATATACTCGTAAGGCATATTAGAAAAAATATCATGAAAAAAACTTATTAAAACTTTCAAACCAAGTGACGGATAATTCGTATCGTTATGCAGTAATCCTATGGGCGCCAGTG